ATCTAATTGTGTTCCAGGGACAAGGTATAACTTATCCAAGCGTTTTAGTTCATTGTCTGTTTCTGCTTGAGCTCTATCATACCAATAACCACCAAAAGGGCTTCCATCACCTGCTTGACGGAGAACAAGTGGAGGATATGCTGCAATAATTGAAGTTGCTTTCAAGACAACATGTTGACTAAAATAGGAATCAAAATGACTATATTCTTTTGATAGTGTGGCATGAAGCATGGTTCGGCCAGAACCAGCTGCATATATGTGAGTCCATGAGCATGGAGGACCAGAAGCTGATTTTGGGAATTCAATGTTTTGTAGATAGTCCAAAGCAGACATCTCTCTCGTAGCATTTACAAGAACAAAAGATTCACTTCCAGCCTTCCATTTTACCAACAAGCTAAAAGCATCACACCGAGAAAAATATGCACCTGTAAATGATACATCAACCTTAGAAACATGAAAGTCAACCAGCAATAATAAAGGATTTGTAGATATATTTTTGGATATGGTATACCGTTTGGAGCTTTCAGTGTGACAGCAGCTTCCAAATATGATCCAACAGCAGTCTCTACAGGGAAATTTTGCAACATAATCATAGAAAACAGAGTAGAAACTTCAATAGTCACCTATTAAAAATAAGCATAGTTCACTATTAGAAACATATGTTAAAAATAGAGGAGAAAGAACACTAATTGAATAGAGGAACAACAAAACTGTGCATGTAGTGTATACATCATCTACAACCATCTTCCAAGATGCCAATTTAACACCAATTTAGAGATCGTTTTCAGCATCCTTCAACACAACAAAGTCTAATATGTGTCATCAATCAGATATTTAACATGCAGGAATCACAAAATAAAAAGAACCCATAAAGTTTAGTCCTTTGCAGCAACAGATCTATTTGTTAACTATAATGAGGAAACCAGAAAGGAAATGTAGAAAATATTTAAATCCCTTGCATGATTTTCATTGCTAAGACATTAAAACTTCATCAAGTTGTTGGAAAGTGTATATTTGTTGTTATACCTAAAGTTGCTGTCTATGAAGAACCCAACTATTAAATATACATAACATTCTATTATTCCACATGGTATCAGAACCATAAGAAAAAATCTTTGTTTCTCTGCTCAAACTCTAATCAGCCTTCGACCAAAAAAAAAGAAACCTAAACTCAGCCAGAAAACACCAAGACGCACGGCCCACAGGTGTGCACTACCCAGCTCTGCCAAGTCAGAATCTCCAGCTGCATCAGCCCTTGCTGCCCAGCCATGCTGCCACTGCATCAGTGCCAGCAGCTGTCCCCTCCCGTGGGTAGTTGCCACCAGCTGCAACTCCTATGCCACAACTGTCTCCAGCACCCTGCCACTATTTTTCAGCCACTAATTGTCTCTTAACCGCTCCATTGTGCCATCTCCAAAATAAATTTATAACCCACCAGCGCCAATTATGAAAGGATAACCTCACACCATCCTACTAGAGAGTTACAACACATTCAAGCAACCTACCGCCCGAATAGATAAAATTGCCTAAAATGCCCCAACTGGTCCTTATGTTCCTAAAAGAAAACAAAAATAGCCACTTTTTAGGAACAAATCTAAAACCATGAGACTCCCACTTTGATGTCCGGGATGAAAAAGACTATGATCATAGCCTAACTCTGGAACTCGATACTGCCAGAAATCAATAATACTTACGTATTTTGCCAATTGCCAAAAGACATTTTGAAGGTTGTAAGACAAAGTTACTACAAAGTTTGAGATGTAACCCAGATTTCTAAATTAAATGTTAAGACCACCTCTGCAAAACAAGGAAGCAGATTTGTTATGGAATATGCTAATCTCCTAAAAGGTTGATGGTAAGAGCTAGATCAATATGCTAATCTCCTAACCGTAAGCAATTTCCTTAGAAACTTTTATTGAGAAAGACAGTTTTAGTTTTTGGCAGGTCGCAATGTGGAACTTGACCAAGTTAGGATTCAAATAAAGGGGGAAAAAAAAGAATTACTCTCTCTAAATCAGGTAATCTCTATTATTTTAAGGGAAGATAATAGAAGGGGAGTTTTTGTCAGGTCTTAATGTGGAACTTGACCAAGTTAGGATTCAAATAGAGGGGGAAAAAAAGAATTGCTCTCTCTAAATGAGGTAATCTCTATTATTTTTAAGGGAAGATAATAGACGGGGATCATGCTGAAATCTAATCAACAGAGCACTCAACAACACCGACTACCAGACCAAACATCAACCAGTAGGCCAATAAGGACCATGACTGATCTGAAGCAACCAAAGGAAGTGAGAGAATCAAGACAGTCTATAGCACACCTTTTGTAAGAAATGCAGTCAGAAACCAACGCGACCGAACATCATCACAGAGATCGCCAACCGAATTGTCTTACACAACTGGCACGGTCTGCCTCCTCTGTGGGACTACGAGCAACAACAATGGGGCGGTGCGAGGTAGTCATTGACGAGTCCCTCTGTTAGCTGACAATGACGTTTATAGACGTAGTATTTATCCAAAAGTGGGTTCTTGAAATTTCACTGAAAATTTTGAAAATCCACATGGCAGTCCCACCTTTAAGCGACAGAGACAATCTAAGACACCAACAACCTTCAAACCTCCATTAAAGACAGCTGCAAAGAAAATGTCAAAAAGATCTTCTGGTCCAAGGGGTTCAGTGGCTTCTAACAGCAGCAATTCCGCTACAAAGAATGTTCTTCAAGTTAGAATTCAACACAAACCTGAGCACCAACTTCAGCCACTACGTGATCCCAATACCTGAGGCAGAAATCAGCAGCAGTGAGGAACCAATAATGATCCTTATGCATGGTCTAATCACGGGAAATGCTTTCGTTGCAACCAACTAGGTTATCTCTCGAACAATTGCCCAAATAGGCCAGTTGTCAGCTTTACTGAAGAAGGTGGTGGTACAAAAAAACAAATATTTAAAGAAGATATTTATAAGGATGCTGAAATTGAAGATGTCAGAGAAGAAGTGGCATGTGTTGTTCAACAGATAATACTCACTCCAAAGAAGCTAGATTATTCTAGGTGATAGAAAATATTTCAAACTAGGTGTATTATTTAAAATAAAGTGTGTAATGTGATTATTGATAGTGGCAATAGCGAGAAGTCTAAAGCCTTAGTGAAGGCTAAACTTGGAAACCGAGAAATACCTGCCTCTATATAAGATAGCATGGATTAAGAAAGGACCAGAAGTTCAAGTGGCGGAAATTTACAAACTTTGTTTGTCAATATTAAATGTTGCAAGGATGAAATTGTCTGCGAAATGGTAGATATGGACACCTATCATATTCTGTTGGGAAGACCATGATCCTATGATGTTATTTTACCTATAAAGATCGAGATAATACCTTTATTTTTTGGTGGCATGATAAGAAGATCATTTTAGTATTGCAGTCTCCATCAAATGATGGTAATCTTATCACAAAAGAGGATTGCCCACTTTTTACTACTACTACGGGTCCATAATTCTTTGAGCAGGTCAAGAAGCCAAATTTTGTGGAGCCTTAGTTTCAAAGGTCAAGTGGACACAATTGAAGAATTTCCAATTAAAGTATGAGAATTAAGTCCTGATGTTGCTGATCTGTTTCCTAATGCATTACTTGATGAATTGCCTCATATGAGAAACATTCAGCACCACATCAATTTGATACCTGGAGTAAGCTTACCTCATTTGCCACCCTACTGTATGAACCTTCTGAGCACGGAGAATTACAGAGACAAGTTAACGAGTTGTTAGATAAAGGTTTGATTTGTGAAAGTATGAGTCCTTATGCAATTCCTGCATCACTAACTCCTAAGAAAGATAATACTTGGCGAACGTGTGTAGATAGTCATCTCATCAACAAAATAACAATCAAGTATCGCTTCTCCATTCCACGCCTTAATGATATGCTTGACAGGTTAGAAAGTGTTGTAGTGTCACTAAACTTGACCTAAGAAGTAGATATCATCATATCTCGATCCGTCCTGGTGATGAGTGGAAAACATCTTTCAAGACCAAAGATGACCTCTATGAATGGCTAGTAATGCCATTTGGATTATCTCATTTGCCAAGTACATTTATGCAATTCATGAATCAAGTTCTCAACCCATTTATTGGCAAATTTGTAGTGGTTTATTTCGATAATATTCTTATTTATAGTAAAGATGCAAATTAGCATTTGGAGCATCTCAAGGAAGTCTTTATTGCCTTACAGGCAAATAAATTGCATATCAATCTTAAGAAGTACACCTTTATAACTGATTATCTCTTATTCCTTGGATTTACTGTGGCAAAAGATGGTAGATAGGTGGATGATGTCAACGTGAAGGCAATTCAGGAATGGCCATCCCCTGAAATAGCAAGATGTGTAAAGCTTCCATGGCTTATCTACCTTTTATATGCGGTTTATTAGACGGTTTAGCATTATCATCACGCCTATAACTGATTGATTAAGAAAGGGGCCAGCTTCAATGTGTAAAGGATTCAAAAGACAATTTTGCTTCATAAAACAATTTTGCTTTGATCAAGTTGATTGTGATGCATCAACATTGGGAATCGGAGCTGTTTTGTCTCAAGAAGGTTGCCTGTTAAATGCTTTAGTGAAAAGATTCGTCAACCCCGCCAAAAGTGCACAGCCTCAGGTTCATTATGCAGTAGTTTGAACTCTAAAGCATTGGGAGCACTATTTCCAATGAGAGTTTGCTTTATTCATGAATCATCAAGCTTTAAAGTTCATCAATTGTCAGGAACAGAGAATAGGATGCATGCTCAATGGATTACTTTCTTACAGGAATTTGCTATTAAACACAAGTTCGGTCAACAAAATAAAGTAGCTGATGCATTAAGTCGACAAGCTTTCTTACTAGCTATAGTGGGTACTAAGATCATGGAATTCAACTATTTGGAGGATATTTATGATATTAGTAACATCTGAGCATGATGTAATAATAAAGACTTTGTTGTTGATTTCATGATTTTTCAAGATGGGTTTTTATTCAAATGTACTTATTTATGTACTTCTTGTTCTTCTTTGTGTGAATATTTAGTACAAGGGCTACATGCTGGAGGGTTAGAAGGGCATGCGAGTTCAGATAAAACAATTAGTTTGATGTAAGAAAGATTCTATTGGCCTCAACTTAAAAGGAATATAGGATGTTATATTAAAAAATGCCCTCTCTGTCAAAAGGTCAGAAGACAAGCTCAAAATGTCAGTTTTTATACGCCTCTACCTCTTCCCAAGACAATATGACAAGATTTGACAATGGAGTTTGTTCTTGGCTTGCCACGGACTCAACAAGGTGTTGATTTGGTGTTTGTACTTGATTGTTTCTTTAAAATGTTTCACTTCCTTGTAAAAAAATTTCAAATTCTTCTTATGTAAAACACTTATTGTTTCGGGAAATTGTTCTTTTGCATGGCGTTCCTTGTGCCATTAATTCAGATAGAGATGTAAAAATTTTAGGTCATTCCGGAGGACTTTGTGGAGATTTTTGATACTTTTTTAAAGTATAGTAGTACTAGTCATCTACAGATAGATGGACAAACTTTAGTGGCTAATTGTACCCTTCATAATATGATTTGATTGTCTTCTGGTAATAACCCAAAGCAATAGGATCA